AATTTATAATTTTTTTTTTGGGTCAGAAATTTAAGGTCAGAAACGTGATCCAAGTGGGTCAGAAACAATGTTTTTGCGCCGCGTACAGTACTGTACGCGAAAATTTTTGCCGATCCTTTCTACCAGCCAATCAAATCGCTAGATACTTACTATACTTACTATACGTACTATATGCGAAAAAAATTCAGGTATCATATAAACGGCACATCACTAAGTAGACCCAAAAGCTAAATCGATTTTTTTAACTATTCGTACTACTTATTATTATGTTACCTTTTTCTAACCGGTTTGTTTCAGAATCATCTGCCGGAGGAGAGTTATAGGCATCTACCGGAGGAGAGTTATAGGCATCTGCCGGAGGAGAGTTATCTCTTGAGAATGGATTATTGTCGCTGCCGGCTTTATTATGTTCCGACTCACTTTGGTTTTCATTATTTTCAGTGCTTTGGGCTTAATTATGCAAAAAAAAAAAAAATCAAGTAATCGAATAAAAGATATTTTCATATTTTTTACTTACATATTCCTTGTTTATTCGTTTTATCCCTTAAAGTACGTTGCGCTTTGTTATTCTTAAATAAAAAAAATTATCAATAAATTATCAGTAAACTTTTACCAGCTATCCCGAATTAGTGCAATAACTAGTTAAAATATTTAATAACACTTACCTTCACACTCTTCTTATCCATCAAATTTTTAATAACATTCTTCACTTTTCGTGAAGTACTTGAATCATCTTTAATGATTTGAAGAATTTTATAAAATATGGCCTCATTAACTTCTTCCTGACCAAAAGTAGCAGCTGTCCATGAATTAAAATGGTCAACAGACCAGTCTTTGCTGTCGTGTAATTCAAAGTAATGAATTTTTCCATTTGAAAATGACTTTGGATTGGATGTAGAAGTAGACATTATGCTTGAATTTCTAATTGCAATTGCTAAAGCCTAATTTGTAATCACTAAACTAGTTAAAAAAAAGGATAGACTTCGAATTTGTTAAAAAGAAATAATATTTTATTTTATATACAATAGCACTGACTCGACATTGTAGTACATAAACATTATTGGGCAAAAATTCGTAAACACGCGCACGTTCAGCCAATCATTTTCAAATTACCATATTCGATAATTTACCCAATACCGATAAAGATAATGTTGTTATCCAGCTGAGTTTTAATTGGAATAACGTGATTTTCTGCGCCAGCAAATATATGAACCAGGTGTAACGTAACACGATCAGGAAATTTCAAAACACACGTTCGTTTTGTCAAAATTCGCTTATTTCTCAAAATCTGAATAAAAAACCACCTTTCAAAAGCTTTTCGTGAGCGATTTTACTATATAATTACATAGCCTCAAACCTTCTTCTAAACGTTAACCCTAACATTAATGGGATTAAAATTTTGCAGCATGATTACATAGTAACACGTGAAAAAATACAACATTTATGATCATATGGTTTGTCAGTTAAAAATTTATATTTATTACAGTAAGGTATTTTACGCGATATAGAAATGATCTGCAATTACTAAAAGGTTATTCTAAAACCGATTTCTATTCAAAAAAAACCAACCAGTTTTAAAAAAGGCAATTTCTATTTGTACCCCGTGTTTGAAACACGGGTGTATTAATAACTCAAAATTTTGCTTATGAAACCACTTTCCGAGTTCTAACAAAAAAAAATCTATGCAAAATTTTACTATAAGCTACCCTAACCTCTAACCTCTAACCTAACCTCTAATCTAACCTAACCTTAATTCGATTTAATTTTTTCTTTAAATTGTATATTAAATTTGTTTATAAATTATACCCGTGTTTCAAACACGGGGGTAAATTTATAAATTTTCTATACTTTAAATTGTAATAACTTTTTCAAAATTAAAAATCTCTTTCAAATTTGTTGTTTAAAGAAATTTGAAAGGATTTTAAAATTTTTAATTTAAAAATGTTATTAACAAATTTGATGTCTTATGCTGTCCCGCACTGTATATATAAAAAAAAATTAATTAATATAGAGTTATGCATCGCTCTTTTATAAATTAGTATTTTAAAAATTGATAATTATCGTTATATGAAATTTAGACCTAGATCACATTATTATAAATGATATGATGAGATTACGATAATTCTGAAAAGTGAAAGTGAATACGAGCAAGGTCGCGTTAAATTTTTGGAGGTTAGTCAGCCAGCCGCTTTGTCGATATTTCAGTCGGCTGGCTTAGTCAGCCATCTAAAAAACCATGTGGCTTACAACGATTTTTTGTTTTGATTTTTATGTTACACCTGATCTTGAAATATGATTGGCTAAAATTCACGCGATTTCCTTCTTCGCATCGATCGTTCGTAATCTTTAATGCCATTTAACGTTTTTTGATTAAGTATAAAGTTCGACTCAATACTTTGAGGTCATTTTTTCGTCATAAAGCTTACTGGGCTTTTCTGCACATTCAAGCATCTAAAGCAATAATATTAAAAAAAATCATTAATAATAAAAAAAAATTAACAATAAATTGTGAAGAATCTATGAAAGGTAAGGACTCATTTTTATATTATGAAAATGGTTTACTAATTATAGCTCAGTTTTTCATTTGATCTTTTAAGTTTCGTTTGGTTTTAACTTTTATGAAGGTTTTACCAGGTTTCACCCTTCGTCATTTCCAATTTTAAGTTTTGCCTTTCATCAGAGGGATTTGAGGTTTCGTCAGGGTTTCGTCTTTCGTTCTTACACAGAAGGGGTTTCGCCGCCTAACGACTATACTTTAAACGTTGGCAAAGGTACGTCTCGACTTATTACTGTAAATTTTGTATAGAAATAAAAAATTTTAATTATCTTAATATATTGTAGCAATACGTACGATACGATCGGATCTTCCAACATTTTTTGAACGTGGTCTTACTGATACATCAATATATTCTCAAAATATTCTTCTATCTGATCCTTATCATACGGGTCTATATGTACGTGGAAAGCACGTATATTTTGGAATTGCTAATTTATTGAGGTGGAGTTTAGTTTGGTATTTTGACGATTTAACGCTAGAAATAGTAAAGATTCATGTAGCAGATAACAGCACGGATGATAAAACCGATCCCGGAAGTGACTTTTTATTCAAAGACATTACTTGTGACACTCATCCAATACCATTATTATCCTTTTCCACTTCTGATATACATCCTTATGATAGAAATATTCGACTTTATGTTCGTTGGGAACTTGAAGGAACTCCTCGTTCTTCTTACATTACTTCTTTGTTATCTTCACGTAGCACACAAATTCCACGTTCTTCTTTCTCTGGTATTTTTGTTTATAAATTTGGTTCTAAAAGTGGTTTGGTAACTGAACATCATGTAAAACATATTGTACCTGCTCCAAGTCGTAGAGCTGTACTATACCAAGGGTTTGGTGGGCTTGGTGGTTTGATGTGGCGACTTCGTAGTGGTTTAAGGCAGAAAAATGAATGGGGTGTAGGTTTGGGAATTGTTGGTGCTAAAAATCAGATAAATGTAAAGTCTTCCAAAGATAAAAATGAAAATCATAATATCACTGATATATAATCGTGTTTGTTCATTTAATTGTTCGCTTTTGTGGATCGATAACAATGCATCATTTCATTGTCGCATGATTTTATTATTATTTGAAGGCAATCTGAAAATCATATCATTTTTACACTGTGATTAATAAATATTTTTACCGTTATAATTTACGAATTAACAGCGTGACGACGTGACGAGTGTGAAACAATTGACGTCTGAAATTATTCTACTTTGGAATTGAATGTCACACTTTTTCCAAAATTGTTAAATCACTAGACATTCACTTGTTCTTCTGGACTTTTTAAGATTTAAAACTCGTACTTTTTTCGAGAACGGGCCAACGATTTCAATCCAAACATTATTTCGTGTCATGTCGGGTGAGAACCCTAAATCTATTTTATACTATTTTTTGCTTGACTTTTGAATAACTTCAAAGTATATTGTATTCGCTTTAGACCTTAGCTTAGAAAATTCTGACCAAACTCTTCAGGAAAGGGAGGAAGATCTCGAGGATGGCGGTGACTTAGATACCGAGGAGCTACTGGCTGCGATGGCTGAGAATTCTTCTGGTATGTACACGAACTCTTTTCTTTTACATTGTTAAACAGTTTATCTCCTGCCTGGAATTAAGTACTAGGAAACCCACAAATTATTGTCATCGGCTTAAATAGACGATTTGACATTTCAATTGGTGATAACTTCTCGGGCGATCCTTCGCAGTCCATAACAAACCTGTGACATGAGTATCAATTATGGTTTAATTTTTTTTCATTAGATCAATTTTCAGAAATTCCTCCCGAAGAGATAGAGGATGAAGAGCTTTTGTTAGATGATACATTATCGCCACTTGAGAAGATATTCCTATACGTGAAGAGCGATTTGGTATTTCATAGGTAGGCATTATTGAGTTATTATTAAATAATAATTATCATTCAAATTCATACTAACATATCAATATATCGATATGTAATTAACTTATATTTTTTTTTTCTTATGAGAGTGTTCATTGCAAAGGAACTGCCGTCACTGATAAAAGATGTGGAGATAAGTGAAGCTGTTGAATATGTATTGCCTTTGATGAATTCTTTAGGAACAGACCCTGGTTAGTTTTTCTTTTTTTTTTTTTTTAGCATTTTATTTATCACTTTTATTTAATATATATCAATCGATAATTCATGTTAATTCGTCTAGAGGATCATGTTCGCGAAGCATTTGTTCCTGAATTAGATAAAATTATATGGTTTTATTATTCAGTAAGTTAAAATAAATATAAGCTTTTTAAATTTCTCATATTCAAATAAATATATTTTTTTTCTTACTGTTCAATTTTTCTGGGAAATTTATATATCATTTTATTATTATTATTCAGCATTGTCCGCTAAAAGAAACTATGACAGAAGTTACAACAGATAATATTCAGAATGATAATGCTTCAGTATCAAGACCTTTGACTCCACAAAGACCGCAAACACCCCAAAGACCTCAAACACCTCAGAGACCACAAACACCAATACAGCAGTCGTTGCCATCACAACCACCAACTCCGACTAATCATTTGCCATATTTATCACCAGCTGCCTTTACTCCTCTGCTTCATGCATTGCTTCTTGATCAAAACACTGGTATTGCACAAGCAGCTCAAAATGTTATACACTCTTTAGTTGAGAGAATACTAGAAGAACCAGATGTTAATCCTAAAGAAAAAGAATTGCTAGAAAAAGAAACTTTGGAGGGTGTTGTTTTAGGAATAGGCCGTCTTGATCAAGAGAAGGTAAAGAGAGAGGAATTAAATGAATGGGATACTGAAGGTGACGATACAAGTGTTGGTGCTGTTACTGGTATTGAGGAAGAAGTTGAGCTAGGCCGAATGACAATGATGTCGGTAAGTTTCTAAATTTCATTCAACCTTTTGTTTCTTAATATTTGGTCTGTAATCATTTTATATTTGTAGTTAATATCATCTTTAGCGCCGATCGTTGGCCCAGAAAGATGTATTCGCTTGTTTGTACCTGAGTTGGACAAAATGATGGAAGAGCCAGTGTTCTATGTACGGAAGGTTGGTTATCTGATATTATTTTATTTATTATTAGCTCATAATTTATAATTGAAGTTATTTATTTGTTCTAGGAAGCGGCCTTGGCGATTGGAAATTTAGCTAGTGTATTACCTTTGGATATAATAACTTCAAAATTGGTAAATAATAAAACCATTTCTTTCATGCTTTGTTGGAAGCATTACAAAATTGTTGATATTGAGAAAACAATGATATCAAAAGTTACCTATATACGACCATTTCTCAATCGACCCTATATGGCACGTACGTCGCTCTTGTTGCTTAGTTTTACCAACATTATGCTCAAAGCTTCCTGGAGAAATGAAATCGGATCGAGCTGTAAAGGGAATCGAAATATTTGCCGGTGATGTTAGTCGTAGTGTACGTTCTGCAGCCGGTGAAATTATTGGGGAATTGATTGCTACTTTTCAACCTGATGATAAAGTTCCTGAAAGTTTAGTACAACATTTTTTAAGCCTTGGACCGGTTAGGGAAAACAGTCTTAGTAATGGTGTTTCTAGTAGTACATTTAGCAATAATAATCTTGGACAGAGAGATCCGGAACGTCCAGTTATATGTGCATTTAATTTTCCCGGTGAGATGATTAAAATTATATAGATTTATTTTTTATGAGCTTCTGATGATTTAACTTATTAATCTTTGAAACATTAAAGCTGTCGTTCTGACGTTGGGTGAAAGCAGTTGGGATAATTTAAAAGATACATATATTCCCTTGACTCGAGATATGCAGGTTAAAAATTTTCTTTTGTTTAACTATAAACTTCTTATTTACTATAAATTTCTTATTTATAACACTGAACTTAAACGTAATATATCTTTCAAGATTAAAGTACGAAGATCATTGGCTTGTTCGCTTCACGAAATAGCAAAAGTAATTGGTCCAACGAAAACGGAGAATGATTTGCTTAATGTTTTTACATATTATTTGGATGATATTGACGAGGTTAAGTCTGGACTTATAGAACATCTTGCAGAGTTTATTGAATGTTTGCCACAGTCTACTCGCAACAATTATTTGCCATCGTTGAATGATGTTTGGGATGGCGTTAAAAATCATTGGCGATTAAGAGATGAGATCACAAAGTATTGCTAATATCAATACATCTTTTGATTCTCTTATAATTTATGTTCTATATATAATCTTATATTTATAATCTGTTCAGACAAATACCGGAATTATGTCGACTAGTGGATGGACAATGCGTAATAAGTCATATATTACCATTGACAATACGTGCAATTAAAGATGAAGTAGCTAGTGTTAGAGAAACCGCAGTTGCCAGTGTAAGTAATCGAGAACTTCATAAATATCTTTGTCGTTATAATTACTCTAAATTGAAATTTTGTCATTTAGTTTCCGGTTCTTTTTGAAGTTGTACGAAATGATGAATCATGTCTTCGTGACATGATAAATTGTGTGTGTGGTTTTGTTTCTGACGCTGGATTTCGAGGCAGAGTGGTGTAAGATAATATTTTTCATATTGATATAGATATTATATACACATGAATGATCTCCTTAAACTTTCCTTTTTTTTTTTTTTTACTCAGTTATGTACAAATATGTAATGCTCTCATTTCCACTGGATATTCAAAGGCTGATTTTGAAAAATATTTTTTAAATGGTTTGGAAAAACTTTCGTTAGATAATGTAGTGAATGTTAGAATTGCATTAGGGAGACTTGTTGGAGAACTTTGCCAGCTAGGTAAGTATTAAATATGTCTAGTTGAATATTAAAATGTTTAGTAATTTCGTATCATACTTTTTGACTTCAGAGCAATATTATCAAGATTCGACAACTCGTCCTTCTCACATAACTTCCTTAATAAATAAACTTGCTGGGGATTCAGAAGTCGATGTACGTAGTTTCGTGTCCCCACTTTTATTACCTGAAGAAAAGTCGAAATTTACCATTTGTTAAGAAATCATGAGACAAATTCACCAAGTTTTTCAGGTTATGACCGCAGCAAATCCCACGGGATTTTTTTTTTTTATTTAAAACCTCAATACATTCAAGATTATACAATAAAAAAATCAATAGGGGATGCGCTCCCCGACACTATCGATTAAAAGATGGCACCTATTTTTTATTAGTACAATTACATTATCTATAACTGTTTGATGGATTTGATCCATTTCTCCGTCAAATACAGTAACGCTCTAATTCATTGCCATCGTTTTTCTACATTAATATTAATAATTGCTATAGATTTTCAGTTCGGTTAGTTTAAATCGGGGCTGTTCAAAGTATGGAGGTAATTCTACAGAAAGTTAATAGAAACAATTGGGTACAACAATATTATGCTTGCAACAACCAAGAGCAGATATAATCTCAGGATTGTTATTTAGACAATGTCTAATGAAAAAATACCATTAGGCTTCATATGTCTAATTACTTTTTTTATATGTCTAATGGATCTAATCAGCCAAAATTTAACAATCATGGCCAATCTAGTAGTTTGAGGATATTTTTTTCATATGAATTTTTTAGCTACTTTGCATTGGTCATCCGCGATTGCCAATTCTTTCCTAATCTCAGGAACAAATTTCTTTAAATTCCTCCAAAGCTCATGTTTTTAGAACAAAAATACCCATTGTATCTTCTTTACTAAATGCACCACATACAAAACTTTTAATTGCCTTTTTTTTTGAAAACGACATACAGATGCTTTGAGATTGTTACGTGAGACACTTGGATACATTTTTTGAGGGTAGTTTTTAGAACGGGTACCACCTCACAAGCTGTCCAAATGTTTTTGACTCTTTTGAAATGATTTTTCTAGGAATAAATTTCTGCTTCATTTTACGCGGTGCGGTTCACGTTCCCAAAATTATTATTTTTCTACATTGGAATTGTTATAGGTGTTTTTTTTTTTCATCAAAGTGATACAAGAATGTTCCGTTATGCGATTTTTTTACGAAAATTATTTCATGCCCAAATTAAATTACTGTAAACACCGTTGTATGTATTATGTATCAATGGACATAGCCCATTGGGAATGAAAAATGGGACACGAAAATAATTTCGGACCTTTTAAGGGAAAACCACATTTTGGACTTTAGGAATTGAGTATCGGTATGGTTTCCCTTGAGTTCTCATCAATGTTAATATAATGTTAACCAATATATATACCATAAAATCTCAAAATAGCGGGATGGGCATTACGGTTCGAATTAAGTTTAATACGGGTCGAGATTTTGCAGTTAAAATATATATTATCGTTATGATGCGTAGCTATCTAAAAAGTAGCACTTGACTGAAATTAAGCGCGTTAATTCTGGGTAGGTGCTACTTTAGATACCTAGATTGGTTACTTCACTCCAGATATACATGATTCTTTATCATTGTTAATGGACAAGTTAGGCTACTCTTTGTTTAACAACATAAAATACAGTATATAACTCATAAAGAGTGGAAGAGAGTACAGTCAGACCTCCCTAAATGCATGGTCTATGAAAGGCCTTATTTGACCCAAACTCATATAACACTTATAGACTTTTACCTTCTTAAATGCAATACCTCTCTAAATGCAAGATGTTTGGCCGCCCCTCGGCTATGCATTTAGAGGTCTGACTATATTAAATAAGAGGATTTCTATTTGTACCCGGTGGGTATATACCCGGTATATAAGAAAAAATTAAAAAATCGTCAATATAGCATCAAACTTTGTATATAAATACTCCCTTAATACCTTTAATTCTAACCCTAATCTTAACCTTATTAACTTTAAGGGTTGTATTTTTTTTCTTATACCCGGGTATATACCCGCCAGGTAAAATTAGTTATTTTCATTAAATAAACATAAATTTATAATATACAATGATTCTATTGGCTATAAAAAATATGAAAAATATAAAGATCAATACTGCAGTCATCAGAAAGTATAACTAAATACTTGACCAGTACTTACTACAGTAAGTACTTATTAAATACTTATTACAATTACTTATTAAATCAATTCCAACACACCTTATGCTCAGTGAATATTTAAACTAAATATTTAGCAAGTAAATATAATTATAATAAGTATTTAATAAATATTTATAACAAGTATTTATCGCTGTTTTCGAAATGGATAAAACTGACAAATAATTTTGTTTTTTGGAGAACACATGAACACATATGAGCATATATAATTGTTTACTGAACAATCACGTAAATCGGGCAATCAATGTGCTAAGATAATCAAGGTAATCATGTGTTTATGTATTCATATGTGTTTATATGTGTTCATATGTGTTCATGCGTTCTCCAAAAATTGTCATTTTCATCTATTTCGAAAACAGCGATAATAAGTACTTTCAATAAAGAAGCATTTAAATAATGAATTCTTATATTCAGTATCTTCATAATAAAGTTAAGATTATAATATTAATTAAGTTAGATTAAAGTTAAAAATAAAGTTAGTATTGAGGTTTGGGTATCTCAAAATTGTGAGAGGACTATTTTTGCTTATATTACATGAGAGGTGTTACCTAGTCAAAATTTTGAAATATTAGCAATTTTAAAAATAAAAATACTAAGTAAATAAGATACTAATTTAAGGGTAGGGTGAAGGATCTACATTTCTAATAGTAATTACATTACAAATTTTTTTACAATAACATTCAATTGAAATCAGGTGATGATCATATGTTATTTATATTGTGTAACTTAGGCAAATT